CACTCCTGCCTGCTAGCCTGATCACACCCTTAACCACTCCCCTGCCAGCCTGATCGATGCCTAACTGTTCCCCTGCCAGCCTGCTCACTCCCAACTTCCCTTCCCTGCTAGCCTGGTTGCCCCTAGCTGCCCTCTCCTGCTACCCTTATAGCCCACAACTATCCTCCTCTGCTTGCCATCTTGTGGCAGCCATCTTCTGATGACATGGGGTGGCCATCTTGTGACCACATGGGGGCGACCATCTTGTGGTGGTCAATTTGCATATTACCTTTTTATTATATAGGATAGGATAGATGGGATTGTTTCTCTCTTATATAGGAAAACTATATAGATGGGTAGAAATGGACAAGAATTCAAATATAACTCATTTGTTTCTGTCAGTTAAGCATTCTTCCAGAAAATCAAAGTAACTGATTCCCTGGGTTTCTGATGTATGGCCCATGCTTGGCTCTGTAAAGCTTCCTGACGCTGTGGGAAAAGCCCAGACTTTGGAATCTGACAGTCCTGGGTTCACATCCTGGCTCTGACTCTTACAATTAAAGGACAGTAGACAAGTTGCTTAATTTCTCTGAACTTTAACATTCCCATCCATCAGGAGGGAATACTGCTATTTATCTTCTGTTTTAAGGTATGGGAAGAACGTTGTAGAATGGTAGGTGCAAGATTAGGTCTGTCTCTCCAGAAATGACTTCATATTGGCTGTAGATCCCTCCATTTGCTCAAGACAGATTTTCTTGTGGGAGATATCCTTGTCCTTAGGAGCTCTCAGGTTTGCAGAATGTGAACAAATGAGTTTTGGGGTCATTAGTACTTAGCCTGTCTAATTTTTCCTTTCCTGGTGGTCAGGACCCATCTCACCCTGTATAGAATCTGGAGGGTTGCTCCACCAGCCCTCCTTATCATGCTACACTGATTGTCCCCGGTTCTTTAGGTCTCCGAAGCCGCTCCACTCGCATGTCCACCCTCTCAGAGGTTCACATCACCCCTAAGGAGGATGGTATGGAGGTAGACCTGCCCGTGCGTGCCAATTCCCGCAAGCAGTTCTTAGTTCCCAGTGAGTAATGAATCTGTTCTCCCTGTTTGATGCCCTGGAGCAGTTCCTCCCACATTGCCTGAACCTGTTCTGGAATATCCTAAGATTCCAACACTCCCCTGACTTAGCACTTAGTATTGTTCTGCCCCCGCCCCACAGCTCCCTTATCTGGAAAATACCTTTTTCTCCCCCTTACTTGAAACATCATATACAGTATATACAGAAAAGTGAACATATCATTTAGTATATACAGTTCTTGAACACACACATATAACTAACACCCAGATCAGACAGAGCATTACCAGCACCCAGAAGTCCCCCTCAGGCACCCTTGCAGCTCCTAAGCCCCCAGGGAAACCTATACTCCTGACTTCTTTTTATTTATTTATTTATTTACTTACTTACTCTGGTTTAATGAAAATTTGATCCATTATCTTTTTCTTAATTAGAAATTATTTGCATCAAGGTTTTGTTACAGGGCATATAGGAACTAATGAGAATATTTTTTATAATACAGATCAGTTACTATGTCCCCAGAAGGCCACAGAGCTCTGTAAAAGAGAAATAATTTTTTTTGAGTTCTTTTTCTTTTTTTTGATGAGAGAATCATGCATCTGCTGCCTCCTGCATGCCCCCCACTGGGGATCTAGCCCCAAATGCAGGCATGTGCCTTTGACTGGAATTGAACCCAGGACCTTTCAGTACACAGGCTGATGCTCTCTCCACAGGCCAATCTGACTAGGGCCTGACTTCATTTTTTTAAGATTTTTTTAATTGATTTTTAGAGAGCAAGGGAGAAACATTGATGTAAGAGTGAAACATCGACCAGTTATCTCCTGCAAGCCCCTTACCAGGGATCGAGCCCGAAACCTGGGCATGTGCCCTGACCTGGAATCAAATCATCAACCTTTTGGAGCATGGGATGATGCCCAGCCAACTGAGCCACACTGTCAGGGCTAATCCTGAATTCTAATAGCATAAATTAGCTTTTTCTCTTTTTGAATTTTATACATATGGAATTTTAAAACTGTCTTTAAAAAACATATTTTTATTGATTTCAGAGAGAAAGGGAGAGAGAGATAGAAACATCAATGATGAGAGAGAATCATTGATCGGCTGCCTCCTGCACGCCCCACACTGGGGATCAAGCCCGCAACCCAGGCATGTGCCCTAACCCGGAATTGAACCAAGACCTCCTGGTTCATAGGTCAACGCTCAACCACTGAGCCACGCTGGCCAGGCAATTGTCAACTTGTATTAGATATATAAAGTAGATGAAGATTTTGTAAGATACACAACCATTACATCTTACATGTATCAAATTTAGCTCTTATAATATGAAGGTAAAGGATCATGACCAAGTATGGGAAGTAATGAGTTGTACCTTTCAGGGTTGAATCAGTATGGTTAGTTTTGCTCATGTTTCCATTATTTCTGGCTTTTCAGTCTTTGTTCCTGTTAACCACCTGAGTTCTAAGGATTTTTTATTTTGTTTTTTGTGTTCCAAGGCTATATATATATTTTTTTTTAATTGATTTTTTTTACAGAGAGGAAGGGAAAGGGATAGAAAGTTAGAAACATCGATGAGAGAGAAACATTGATCAGCTGCCTCCTGCACACTCCCCGCTGGGGACATGCCCCTGACTGGAATTGAACCTGGGACCCCTGAGTCCACAGGCTGACGCTCTATCCACTGAGCCAAACCGGTTAGGGCATGTGTTCCAAGGCTTTTGAAAGTGAGAAAGGTCTGGCTTTTCTCCCAGTGAGTAGAAAGGCCTGGCCTAAGAACCCATACTTGGGTCAAGCCTAAGGAATTCAGGCCTTAAAAAGCTTTTCCCTTCATGGTGAAGTCCATACTGAGTTACTCACCCTTTTTTTATTTTTAATCCTCTCCCGAGGATATTTTTTCCCATTGATCTTTTTTTGTGTGTGTGTATTTTGTGAGGCTGTTTTTTCCATTGATTTTTTTAGAGAGAGTGGAAGGGAGACAGAAACATGTATGTGAAAGACATATCGATTGGTTGCCTCCTACATGCACCCTGACCAGGGCCTGGGATGGAACCTATAACGAGGGTGTGTGCTTTTGACCAGGAATCGAACCTGCATCCCTTTGGTCCATAGGCCAATGCTCTAACCATGAGCAAAACTGGCCTGGGCAGGAAACTCAAGATTTCTTGACCCAGGAGCCAGCCCCTGCAGAGATACTGGTCCGGTTCCGGGTGTGGGCTGAGGTGAAGGCAGAAACCCAAGTTCTGCTCACACTGTAGGAGCCTGAGCCCTTGCTGAGCTGGCAGTCAGTAGCCATCCTCCTGGTCCATGAGCCATGCGGGCTCGGCTGGGTACAGCTGCATTGCCGGCTTCGCCAATGACTCTTGTTTCCTCACAGCTGGCCCCCCTAGGAACTCCTGCCCTGCAGTGGCTGAAATACCATTTACGATGGTCAGCGAGGAGGTAGAAGAGCAAGTCCATTCCATGCGAGGCAGCTCTTCTGCAAACCCGGTGAACTCAGGTAGACATGCTGAGCTGTCTGCTGCCCTACTCCTAGTGCAGAGCAGTATCATTCTGTTTCACACCTGGTCTGCCGTGGCCCTGAGTTCAAACTGCACTTGTCACTTGGGGGCATGTTTCCCTGTGGCCATGGAATCAATTTTGCACAAGGGTGACCCTGTCCCCTTAAGCAGGCAGAAACCTTCTAATATAATTGAAGTGTTGTCACAAACTATAGTGTCTTGGCTAACACCTGAAGAACAGCCTAGACCAGCGGTTCTCAACCTGTGGGTCGCGACCCCTTTGGCGGTCAAACGACCCTTTCACAGGGGTCGCCTAAGACCATCCTGCATATCAGATATTTACATTACAATTCATAACAGTAGCAACATTACAGTTATGAAGTAGCAACGAAAATAATTTTATGGTTGGGTCACAACATGAGGAACTGTATTTAAAGGGCCAGAAGGTTTAGAACCACTGGCCTAGAGTAACCATTAAGACTAAATAGTGATGGTCTCACCTCTCTGGTGGTTGAGAAAATGCCACCAAGGTATGGGGAGAGTTTGGGTTAGACCTGGAGTACTCACATGGGCAGATCTTTACTTTGTGAGTTTGACCATCCCAAGAGTCACATCTATTGCTTCCTCTCCTTGCATATGGTGATTTCAGTCTAAAGGTCTTGAGAAGGCCTAGTCCTAGGAAAGCCCAGGACTCAGTACAGCAGCCGGAGAAGAACAGGCTTGCTGGCCTAGACAAGTAAAAGAATGAGCTTTTCTTCCCGTAGTTCGGAGAAAATCATGTATTGTGAAGGAAATGGAAAAAATGAAGAACAAACGAGAAGAGAAAAGGGCCCAGATCTCTGAAATGAGAACAAAGCGAGCTCAGGTATCTTTCTTGGGAAGCTAGGGCATGGGGTTTTTGACAGGTACTCTTAACTGCAGCGTTAATGGCAACACAGATACAGTTGGGCCCAGCATTACTGAGACTCCAATTCTGATATCCAGGAAGTTTAACTGGTGTCTCATCAGGATTCAGAGAACAAATAAGTCAGATATTCTTCTGAGGGCCTTCACATGGGGACTATTTCATGCTGACTGTTCAGTGGGCACGCCTGCCACAGGGCACAGTTGCCTGTTTCCCCCAACCTCCTAGTTGTGTGTATGTGGTGGAGGTGCTGCAATGCAGTTCTAGTTTGGAGCATTTCCCCTTACTTGCTCTGGAGAATCCCAGCCTTCTGTCTCCTAAGTGGCCCTCACCCCAGTTCCTAGAGTGGTTTGGTGCATGCGTAGGCCCCCCTGCCAGTCTCTATTCCCAGGGCTTTGTTCATGGGTTCTCGGCTTAGAGTCAGGGTGGGAGGAAGTGAGATCATGTGAGGGTTTTGTCAACTCTGATGGATCAATTGCACAAGGAGAGATGGTGCTTTTCCTTAGTACTGAAGTCGAGGAGCACTTACATCTCAGCAGTCAGTTTCTTTTTGCTCTTGTCCCAAACAGGAGTATGACAACAGCTTTCCAAACTGGGAATTTTCCCGGATGATTAAGGAATTTCGGGCTACGTTGGATTGTCATCCCCTTACTATGACTGATCCTGTAAGTAAACCCCAAGGGCTTCTACCTCTCCTTCCTGAGTAGGTTTACAATTAAGAGACAGAAAACTTTAAAGGAGAGCATCGAGCAGTCTTCCCTTGCCGTTGCAGGTATTCTTAAGATCCTTTGGTGAGTGGAGTTAGTGAGACCTAGATGAGAGTGTGATTTTATAAACTTCCCTCTACCCCACCTTATCTTCTATGCTCTTGAGTAACTATGGGGAGGCAGGGTCCTAGTGTTAGATCTGGGCTCCTGACTGGGCCAGACCTGGGGTTGGAGGGGAGGGGCTCTGGAGAAGCTTTCTTTAATACTGCCCTAACCTTCTGTTGGTTGGTTGTCTTCTCTCATCCTCTTGAAGATAGAAGAGCACAGGATATGCGTTTGTGTTAGGAAGCGCCCACTGAATAAACAAGGTAAACTCCGGTCAGAAAGGGGCTTTGAGGTAACAGAGGATGCCTGTGTCCAGGGAGCATCCCCTGAAAATACTCTCCTTCTGCAGAACTGGCCAAGAAAGAAATTGATGTGATTTCTGTTCCTAGCAAGTGTCTCCTCTTCGTACACGAGCCCAAGTTAAAAGTGGACTTAACAAAGTATCTGGAGAACCAGGCGTTCTGCTTTGACTTTGCATTTGATGAAACAGCTTCAAATGAAGTCATCTATAGGTTAGTCCCTCGCCTCTTCTCACCACCCCCCACCTCCCCTCACCCTATTTGATCTTTTCCATGCAAGGCGCTGTGCTGACACTGCTCACAGACATGCTGGACTCGAAAGCCCTTCCTGGCCTCTCGTGTTTCTTTTTTATTTTATTTTTTAATGTACTTTTATTGATTTCAGAAAGGAAGGGAGAGGGAGAGAGAGATAGAAACATCAATGATGAGAGAGAATCATTGATTGGCTGCCTCCTGTACTCCCCACACTGGGATCGAATGAGCCCGAAACCCAGGCATGTGCCCTGACTGGGAATTGAACTGTGACCTCCTGGTTTATAGGTCAGTGATCAACCACTGAGCCTCGCCTGCTGGGCACCAAGGATATTTTTATGAGGGCAGAATTGGGGGGATGAGAGGACATTGGGGGGGATAAGAACACATTTGTAATATCTTAATCAATACAGGGAAAAAATAATATTCACAGAATCTGAAAAAAAAAAAAAGATGGGAGACACAGAGCACATTTGCATGTTAATGGAGATGATGCACCAGAAGAAAAGGGAGTGGGGACTGCGGGAGAGAAGTCTGAGGAAGGTGCCTCAGAGAACAAGCAGAAGGCGAACGGGTGGCCTGTGATGGAACAGGGACACTCCATTGTAATGGGAAAGAGCAGAGGATGTGGGTCAGGCAAGTTGGCAGATTTGGAAGTGGGAAGGTGGGGTTTTCAACAAAAAAAGGTGAGGTCATGTTTTCTTTGGATCAGCTCACATAGAGCTGGCTCCGGCTCTGGCTCTGGTTCTAATTCTGGTTCTGGTTCCTGGGCTGCCATATGCCATTTTGCAGCATTAGTAGTGGATCAGAAGTGAGGTGTTACCCATTGCATTCTCTGAGGCTGGGCAGGCTTCAGGGATTCTTCCAGTGTCTTATGCAGCCACCCTGTTACCGACTGGGCTTTGCAGACTCAGCAAACTCTAGGACTGCTCTGTCTAATAAAGCACCCACAGCCTCATACAGCTGTTCATTAAAAGTTAAAATGAAATTAAAAATTAAGTTATTCAGTCACATAAGCCACATTTCAGGTGCTTCACCAGTCCCATGTGGAAGTGGCTACTACTGGACAGCACAGATACAGAACATTTCCATCAGCACAGAAGTTCTATTGGACAACACTGCTCCAAACTAGAAGTTGACAAACTTGGGCCAAATTGGGTTCACAGTCCCTTTTTATATGGCTCTAAAACCACGAATGTTTTTTACGTTTTTAAAGATTGTTGTTTTTTAATGTGACATATCTACATGGCCCACAAAGACTACAACATTTTGGGCTCCTACTTTAGAGGGTTTCCTTTGATCTTTGTAGTGTGTCTTATGCTGGGTGTCAGCTGCTAAGTTCAGGCTTTTGTCTATGTCTTCAGAGTCGGGAGTGGCTGGTGGCTCAGTTAGAGGATGGGCCATCCACTTGCGTGTAGCAAGTCAGTCCAGCCCCCATCTCCCTCCAGCCGGCTAGGAGAATTTCAGATTTGTGAGTGGGCTGAGTCAGGGGGGACCCCATTGCAGGAGAGGAGTACTAGTGCTTGGAAGGAGGAATGGAGGGCCCAGAGGTTCTGCAGTGGAAGGGCAGCAGGACCATGTTCCAGGGTACACACTTTGGTCAGAGATAATACACTCTTCCCTATCCTTTCTCCTAGGTTCACAGCAAGGCCACTGGTACACACAATTTTCCAAGGCGGAAAAGCGACCTGTTTTGCATATGGCCAGACGGGAAGTGGCAAGACACATGTGAGTATTCAAGCATGGCAGGGTATGAGTGTGCCCATGAGCTGCACTGGGTCCCTAAAAAGGAAGACAGTGAGTTTCGTGTAGAAAATCCACTCAGTGTAGGTGCTCCATCATCAGATAACGCTTGTTGTGTCAGGTGCAGAGAGGTGCCTTAACAGGTCCAGCCTCCCAACTTTGGTGTGGCCCACTGGGGTGATGGAGCCGGTAGTGCTCTAGCCTCTGCCAGGGGCCCTTTACCAAGTCTTCTGTCCCTTCCTTTTGCAGACTATGGGCGGAGGCCTCTCTGGGAAAGCCCAGAATGCATCCAAAGGAATCTATGCAATGGCCTGTGAGTAGTGTCTTCTGCCGCCGTGGGGTTGGGCACAGAAAGCAGGTTGCTTACTTAATCCATGCTCTTTCCCATAGCCCAGGATGTCTTCCTCATGAAGAATCAGCCCCGCTACCGGAATCTGGGCCTGGAAGTCTATGTGACGTTCTTTGAGATCTATAATGGGAAGGTAGCTGACAAGGAGACCCTGTTTATACTGTTGGGGGCCCTGAACTCTCAAAAACCTGCAGTTGGCTAGAAATGGTAGAAGCCAAACAATCTATGGACTGTGAAGCTCTGCCCTGACATATGGGGGGGGTTTCGTCTGATGGTGGGATGGTACTCAAGAATCAACAAGTGCCCTAGCTGGTTTGGCTCAATGGGTTAGAGTGTCGGCCTGTGGACTGAGGGGTCCTGGGTTCGATTCCGGTCAAGGGCACATGGCTGGGTTGCGGGCTTGATCCCCAGTGTGGGGCATGCTGGAGGCAGCTGATCAATGATTCTCTCTCATCATTTCATCATTGATGTTTCTATCTCCTCCCTTCCTCTCTGAAATATTAGAGAGAAAAAAAAACTTAAAAAAAAAAAGCTGTAATCGGGCTTTTAAAAAAAAAAGAGTCAACAAGTATGGCAGGAATACTCCGCAGGGTTCCTCTCAGATGGGAGGTCTGCCTTGAGTGTGCCCTGTGCACCCTTGACCCACCTCCTTCATAACTCTTTTTCCTTTGATCACCCATATTTGTTCTCATATTCATCCTCTCTTCCTCCCAACCCCCATCTGTGTGTGTATACATGAATAAACACTCACACATACAACTCTCTTCATTTTTGCAGAGTTGCTTTCCTTAGAGCAGGATCTAGATAATAATGGCTATGTTGATTTTTTTTAATACTTAAAAATTATTCGTTGAGCCGAAACCGGCTTGGCTTAGTGGATAGAGCATCAGCCTGCGGACTGAGGGGTCCCAGGTTCGATTCCGGTCGAGGGCATGTACCTGGGTTGCAGGCACATCCCCAGTAGGAGATGTGCAGGAGGCGGCTGATCGATGTTTCTCTCCCATCGATGTTTCTAACTCTCTATCTCTCTCCCTTCCTCTCTGTAGAAAATCAATAAAATATGTTAAAAAAAATTATTCATTGATTTTATGGGGATGTGCCTGCAACCAAGGTACATGCCCTCGATCGGAATCGAACCTGGCACCCTCAGTCCCCAGGCTGACGCTCTATCCAGTGAGCCAAACTGGCTAGGGCTCATTTGGTTGATTTTTTTTTTTAATATGTTTTTATTTCAGATAGAGGAAGGGAAAGGGAGAGAGACATAGAGATATCAGTGATGAGAGAGAATCATTGATTGGCTGCCTCCTGCACGCCCCCTACTGGGGATCGATCTGCAACCCAGGCATGTGCCTGACCTGGAATCGTACTGTTACCTCCTGGTTCCCGGGTCAATGCTCAAATACTAAGCCACACCAGCTGGGCAATTCTTTTTTTTTTTTTTAATCCTCCCACCCAAGGATATGTCCCCAATGATTTTAGAGAAAGAGGAAGGAGGGAGAGAGAGAGAGAAATATCGATGTGAGAAACATCGATCAGTTGCCTCCCGCACACATCCCTGCTAGAGAGCGAACCTGCAACCTGGGTATGTTCCCAACCAGGGATCGAACCTGAAACCCTGCGGTGCATGGGACAACACTCCCACCAACTGAGCCACACCAGCCAGGGCAGGGTGATTCTTGTATGTCTCTCTCTGGTAGATCTGGCAGGGATTGAGCCTGCAACCTTGCCGTGTAGAGACGAGACTAACCAAACGAGTTGCCGGCCAGGCAGGGCTGCTAATGTTGATTATTAATATGACATTATGTTCTAAGCACTTTACTTGTTTTAATTCACTTATTAATCACAAAAACCCTACAAGGACATGTTACCATCACTGTTGTGTAGGTGGTTAAGTACTGACCCAGTTCACACAGCTAGTGAAGTATTAGAATCACATCAAGCTGAGGCAGCCCAGTTCAGAACCCACACCTTCTGCTAGTCTGCCCAGCTCAAGTTCTGTCTTCCCTCCTGCTGCCTGCCCTTGTCTAAGCTGGGATAGGCCCTGAAGGAGGGAGGCGTCAGGTGGGGAGCCCAGTGCCTGGTGGCCTTAGCCTTGTTCCCCTGCCCGACACAGCTGTTCGATTTGCTGAACAAGAAGGCCAAGCTGCGCGTGCTGGAGGATGGAAAGCAGCAGGTGCAGGTGGTGGGGCTGCAGGAGCACCTGGTTAGCTGTGCTGACGATGTCATCAAGATGATCGACATAGGCAGTGCCTGCAGGTCAGAGTTCTAGCGAGGGGAAGGGGCTACTTTCTCATGCCCAGTTCAGGCGACAGACTAGCTCTGATCCCATCTGGTTCCACAGCGTCCCGCTCTCCCTGAAGGCCCCTGCGGTAAGAGGTCTTTAACAGGCTCATCAGGAGCAACTCAGAGTGTCTTAAATCTAACCAGGGCAGGCTTCCGTTCTTGTCTGGGTTTCTCTTCACTGATCCCTCTGTGATGGGAGACGGGAGCTCTGGGCCTCTTCTAGGCTGAAAGTGCTAGACCCACAGCTCCTGTGGGGAAGTGCTCTTCCAGGCCCTAGGCTGGTATACTGGAGGCTCAGGGAACGAGCTGCCCTCTCGCTGCAGGGCCCTCACGTTTTGGCAAGTGGTTCATGACAACCCTCCTTCCCTGTGTGCCCTGCAACAAAGATAGCTCATCTTTCTCTGTGTCCTTATGGGCCCCCCAGTCTGGCCATGCCCCTAGCATAGAATCCAATACTGTGGCTGCCAGGAAAATTTACCAGCTCCTCTGCTGGAGGGAGAGCTTCTGCCCAGGGAAGGCAGAACAGAAATCTGGGACGAAGACATAGGACTTCTTACAGTCCTGACCTGTGTCCCTCTCTTACCAGAGAATTCACTGCTGTGGAAGGGGGTGGCTGGTGACTTGAAAAGCTCATAGCCTTTCTTTGCCTCCTTTACCATAGGACCTCTGGGCAGACATTTGCCAACTCCAACTCTTCCCGCTCTCATGCCTGCTTCCAGATTCTCCTTAAAGCCAAAGGGAGAGTGCATGGCAAGTTCTCTTTGGTGGATCTGGCAGGGAACGAACGAGGTGCAGACACTTCCAGTGCTGACCGGCAGACCCGCATGGAAGGCGCAGAAATCAACAAAAGTCTCCTGGCTCTGAAGGTAGCAGGGGCTAGGTAGAGGTGGGACTGCTGGTGGGGCAGGAAGTGGACAGCGGAGATTAAGGAAAGGGCCTCAGTTGCACTTGGTGCCCCATAGGAGTGCATCAGGGCCCTGGGACAGAACAAGGCTCACACCCCTTTCCGCGAGAGCAAGCTGACACAGGTGCTACGGGACTCCTTCATCGGGGAGAACTCAAGGACCTGTATGGTGAGTAGGGGCGCTGTGGAGGTGGTGCAGGACATCATCTAGGCCTATCCTGGGCAGGAGGCCTGTGCCCTGGGCTGTCTGGGTTTCCAGACTCTAACTTAACTGAGCTTCATCCCTGCCTTTTCGTTCTAGACTCCTCTTTGCCTACCCAGGGGAGGAAAGGAGGCACTCGGTATACCCCGCAGCTCTGGGTTTGGGGGAGGTCATTCCTCCCTTCCCCGGTGGAAAGGAGGCTCTAGAATTCAGAAGGAGGACCTTTGGGGAAGCAGGAGAGAGGCATCCTGGCTTCTGTGACCTCCCTCCTAGTCCTTGGCTTCCAGCCTAGAATACGGGAAGGGCTATGTCTTGAATGGCTTTTCATCCCTTCCTTATTTTACCCACAAGCCCTTCTAGCTAGGTCTGCTCCGCTCCATGGACATCCTCTCCCGTGTCTGCAGGGAAGATGGGGATTTCAGATTAAGCTCTAACGCCTTCTCCCTGAGGCACTGCTGAGCCTGGATGAAGTGAGGGCTCCAGTAGGAGCCACAGAGCCTTCAGGTGTGACCTCAGTGTGAGGAATGGGTCAGTGAAGAGATAAAGAAGGAGGGGGTCATAAGATGTGCCTTTAAAGGCACGGAACCAACTTTTTAAGGAACTTTAATTTGCAGTGGAGCCAGTTGCCTGGTGAATAGGTGCTTAATGAGCTCTCCCCCCAGTACCATGAGGGTCCAGTAGTTTGGAGAACTCCTCCTGGCAGCCTCTCCCCATGATCCTCGACCTTTAACCATCCATGCCTTCTTTTGCAGATTGCCATGATCTCACCAGGCATAAGCTCCTGTGAATATACTTTAAATACACTAAGATACGCAGACAGGTACCGGAACCTATGCCCTGTGGGATGGGAGCAGGATGCGGGAGAGGAGAGGGAATGGCAGTGATGGAAGAGGGAGGAGGCTCTGGGACTCAGTGCTTACTGTTTACTCTTCCATGATTCAGTGAACCTGAGGTTCGGGAATTCTGACAGGATGCTGGAATGTCTGTCCCAATCCCCTCCAGGCCTTGTAGGGAGTCAGCATGCATGAGGGTCTTTTCCTAGGCCAGAGGCAAAGCTGCTGCTCCATCCCCTTAAAGCCTCAAGGCTGGTGGTCTTAAGTGGTACAGCACTCTTGTGAGTGCCAACAAGGTTGCAATGGGATCAGAAACCTTCTTGTTTCCTCAGGGTCAAGGAGCTGAGCCCCCACAGCGGGCCCAGTGGGGAGCAGCCAATTCAAATGGAAACAGAAGAGACAGAAGCCAACTCTCAGGAGTCTCTGATCACAAGCAACGTAAGGGGCAGGGTGGGACCTAGCAAGACAGAAAAATGGCCTGCTGAGGTGGGAACGGGGCCATACTCTTGTGTGTCTCCTTTTAGTTTTCCAAGGAAGAAGAGGAACTGTCTTCCCAGATGTCCAGCTTTAATGAAGCCATGACTCAGATCAGGGAGCTGGAGGAGAGGGCCATTGAAGAGCTCAAGGAGATTGTCCAGGTGGGCAGCTGGCGCTGGCATATCCACCCCAGCACAGGCCCGCCGCTGTGCTCAGCACCATTGCCTGAATGTGACCTGGGCTTTGCTTCCACAGGTCTTCAGGTTGGCATGGCAAGAGGCAGCCCTCCACCCTAGCATTCCTTAATTCTTGACCTATTCACTCATCCATTCTTCTAGGTCAGCTAATACCACACCCTCTTCCTTAGCCTGGCACACAAGCTTTCCTCCATCCTAGCCAGAGCTTGTCTCTCTCCACCATGCTCCTAATTGGGGGTTTTGGAGGGTGGTTGATATGCAGGGACCTTGTTATTCAGTGAATGTTTGGTGAGTACTTTCTGTATGCCAGCTCCTGTGCTGCGACCAAGGACCAAAAACATAAAGTATGGATAGTAGGCCCTGAAGCAAGACTTGTTCAGCCCTGATTATTTTATTTATAAGTGATTTCCTTGTGAAAGTCATTTAGCCTCAGTTTCTTCATCCTTAAGATGGCTAAGACAGGTTGGTTTTGTCTGAGGGTTAAATGATGTGCATTTATTTATTTATTTATTTTTAATCCTCACCCAAGGATATTTTTCATTGACTTTTAGAGAGTGGGGGAGAGACAGAGAGAAAGAAACATCCATGTGAGAGAGATATATCCATTGGTTGCCTCCCACCTGTGCCCCAACCAGGGTTGGGGATCTGGGGATTGAGCCTGCAATAGAGGTACATGCTCTTGACTGGAATCGAACCAGGGACCCTTTAGTCTGCAGGTTGGCGCTGTATTCACTGAGCCAGATTTGCTAATGTGCTTTTAAAGTGCTCAGCAGCCTGGCTGGCATGGCTCAGTGGTTGAGTGTTGACCTATGAACCAGGAAGTCACAGTTCAATTCCTGGTCAGGGCACATGCTGGGTTGTAGCCTGGATCCCCAGTAAGAGGTGTTCAGGAGGCAGCGGATCAATGATTCTCATCACTGATGTTTCTACCTCTCACTCCTCCCTTCTTCTCTGAAATCAAAAATATATTTTTTAAAAACACATAT